GGGCTGGGTTGGTGGGTGCCAGGCCGTGGGAATTCGTGGGGCACCCACTGTGCGCCAGGCCTGCCTTCGACTAATGCCCCTCCCCTAAAGGGGCTTCCCCTCCTCGTGCAGGAGTAGCCCCCCTTTTTTACCTTTTTATTGAATTTATGGGGGTGACCTTGGTTAATAAAAGTATATAGCTTTCAGGTGTACAATTCTATAATCCATCGTCACACCCCCTCCCCCAAGTCAAGTCTCCTCTTTATCAGGTAAGTGAGCTCTCTTCTAGGTTAATGGGAGTTTGGGGGTGTCCCTCCCCCCCAGTTATAAGTGAGTAATGAACTCTGAGAAAAACTTTGCCGGCATTTACTGTGTAATATATGCACACACATATATGTATACACAGCACGCATATAGATGAGTAGATAGATGAGTATATATGATTTAATGTGGGCGGACATAACTTCTAAAGTTAATACCAAGAATTACATTTATAACATTCCTGGATATTGTACCAGCATTCATGAACTCTATCAATCAACCTATAGATAGATAAGCAGATATGTCACACACACGCACACACATACATACATATCACCACGCATTGCTGGATTTAACTTACTCATATTTTATTTAGGATGTCTGCATTTATGTTCAGAAGTGTTATCGTCTGTGAAATGTTTTGGTGCGTGTCCTGTTCTTGTCTGGTTTGGGAAGCTACTTTAGTTTCAATACATGAGCTCAGTAGATTTTCTTTATTTCGGGAAGTCTGCCTAAGGGTTTTTTTCTGCCCTCGGCGGCGTCTTTGATGACGCTCACCTGTGAAGGTCGTTGGGCCCGTGTCTTTCACTTAATTGGGGCCAGGGAGAGCCTTTCGAGTCCTGTTTCCTTTTTTCCTGCACCAGCTTTTAGTTTTACTGATCTTTATTATCGTTTGGTTTCTGTTACAGTAATTTCTCCTCTTTTGGGCTTGTTCAGTTTCTAGCTGCTTTATTGAACACTTATTTTTTCCCCCCAGCCTTTAAAGTACTAAATGCATTTAATACTCTTCTAAGTTCTAAAAACTGCCACAAAAAAAATTAAAAAAAATAAAAACTGCTACAGCTGCATCCAAGTTTGAATAAGTGAATGGTTCGGTGGTTTAATTGTTGAATGGTTCTAACTAATGAGAAATATCTATTTTTCTTTTCTTTTTGATCCATGCTTGTCTTGAGTTAACTGTATATTTAAATAAGCTTAATGCTCTTATTATTTTCTTTATTGGCATATTTTTCTTTGCTCGTTGGTTTATTTTGTTCGTTATTTCATACATAAGTGAAAGTGTGGTGTTTGTCTTTCTCTGACTGGCTTGTTTCACTTAGCATAATACACTCCAGGTCCATCCATGTTGTTGCAAAAGGTACGATTTCCTCCTTTTTTGTGGATGAATAATATTCCATTGTGTAAATGCACCACAGCTTTTTGATCCACTCACCCACTGATGGGCACTTTGGCTGCTTGGCTATTGTAAATAACGCTGCCATAAACATAGGGGTGCAAATTAGTGTTTTGGGGTTTCTTCCGATAAATTCCCAGAAGTGGAAAGATTAAAAATGGTGGCGGAGTAAATGGATGCTACGCTGACATGCTCCCAGGACCAAACTGCAATTACAACTAAAATACAGAAAAAACACCCTGAATAATCAACTGAAGACTGGCTGGAGAGAACCCTGAAAACCAAGGACAGAAAGTAGACACACATGCAGTGGTTCTCAACTTTCCTCATGCCGCCGTGACCCTTTAATACAGTTCCTCATGTTGTGGTGACCCCCAACCATAAAATTATTTTCGTTGCTACTTCATAACTGTAATGTTGCTACTGTTATGAATTGTCATGTAAATATCTGATAGGCTATATGTGTTTTCCGATGGTCGTGACCCACAGGTTGAGAACCGCTGAAGAGGAAGGAGAGAGGGAGAGAGAGAGGGAGAGAGAGGCATTGATGTGAGAGAGATGCATTAATTGGTTGCTTCCCACGCATGCCCTGAATGGGGCCAGGGGTCGAACCTGCAACCCAGGGACATGCCCTTGACCAGAAATCGAACCCATGACCCTTCAGTGTGCAGGCTGAGGCTCTAACCACTGGGAACACCTGTCAGGGTTCTATGTGCAGTTTTGAATACCTATAGTCATAGTTGTGAAATCATCTTTGACATTAAAAAAATTTTTTTTTGCAGCCTATGACTTCATAGTTTTATTCGGAAAAAAACATGGCATCATATATACCCGCTGATTTGACAATAATATGTAAAGACGCGAATGAGGGGCAAAGCAACAAAAAAACAAGGTAAAATAAGATATAACTGTTAACATGTTAACAATATATATCTAGCAGTATGTCAGTCTGCCAATGAAAAAATGTGAAGGCCATAGGAGGGTTGGTAAGGATTCGAGTTTGGAAAACCTTACTCTCCTAGAGGGTGGGACCTATTGAGATAGGCAGATTAACACTGGCTGCTGGCTCCTTCTCCCAGACCAGCCGTGGGCAAACTACGGCCCGTGGGCCGGATCCGGCCCGTTTGAAATGAATAAAACTATTGAAAAAAAAGGCCGTACCCTTTATGTAATGATGTTTACTTTGAATTTATATTAGTCCACACAAACACTCCATCCATGCTTTTGTTCCGGCCCTCCGGTCCAGTTTAAGAACCCATTGTGGCCCCCGAGTCAAAAAGTTTGCCCACCCCTGTCCCAGACCCACCTTGACATGCCAAGAAAGAGGTTGATGGATGGGAGGAACTAACCAACATTTGAGAAATCCCAGGGCTGTTGGTTCTGGGTATGGATGTGTAGAAAATGGCCGTTCAGAGCAGACGGAGAAATTAGGAATCCGTTATAAAGAGGGTACGTGGAAAACTCCCATGCCTTTGGGAAGGGAACGTCATATCTGAAAAAAATAACAAATACTTTTATGAATAACTCATGGATGAAAGGAGTTACCCCTAAAGGAAATTAGAAAAAAAACTTAGAACTGAATATATAGTAAAAGAAAGAAAAAAAGGGGGAGGGGACCTTTACCTACTGCATTAACTATGCGACACATGTAAAGACTGTGTGAGATAGCGATTTTAGTGTTTAGAGAGAAATTTATAGCCATAAAAATGTATATTATAAAATAAGAAAGGCTGAAAAAATTATAATGAGCTAACAGTCAGCTTTAAGAAATTAGAGGGAGCAAGCTGAACTGAATAAAACTTTCTTTTTCTGGAAATAAAATATTTCAGTTCAGTTCCACTTAAAAAACAATAGTAGTTTCCTTACTCCAGCTATGAGCACATTAACCACATTTTCACATGCAAAAAGCTTAGGCACCTTCAGCTACTTATAAGACATTCACATTCATGTGAAGTATATGACTTTATTACAATTATGTATATATTTGTGACTTTCACATCTGGTAACCTTTTAAAACTCACATGTCATATGATTATTTTCTAAAAGTCCGTTTGGCCCAGCCATCCTGGCTCAAAGGTTGAGTGTCAACCTAGGAACCAGGAGGTCATGATTCAATTCCCCAGTCAGGGCACATGCCCGAGTTGTGGGCTCCATCCCCAGTGTGGGGCGTGCAGGAGGCAGCCGATCAATGATTCTCTCTCATCATTGTGTTTCTCTTTCTCTGTCTCTCTCTCTCCTCCTCCCTCTCCCCTTTCTTCTCTAAAATAAATAAAAATATATTTTTAAAATAAATTTTAGCAAGTCAGTTCATATATGATTATTTAAGGTTAGGAGAATCTCTTTTGAAAAACTTTAATAGTTATATTCACATAAGAATTCAATAATTTTTTTGAAACTATAAACTTCAAGCTAAAGCTTGAGCAGTTTAAGTTATCTGACTGGCAATGCATGGAATTCTTACCAGGTTGTACTGTTTGGCTTATAGTTGGTCATTTCAAGTGGCGTACAATTCTTTATGCAGAGGGCAAAACACTCAAAGAAAGTTGGAGGAGGAGATAAAGATTATCCGACCGTTACCATAATAAAAATCACGGATTTAAGAACTTATGAATGAGTTATCAGACCCGGGAAAGGCTACACTTTAAAACTGTTAGGAAAAAATATAAGAGAATTTTGCCGTTACCTTGGAATAAGGAGATATTTCCTAAACAAGACAGACAACGCATACATACCGGCAAAGAGTGAGGATTCTTAAGTCCCAGCTTTACAAATTTATGACAACATCACTTAGACCTGTTTAGCATTTGAATAGGCTCATCAGACCCGCTTACCAAAGCACCCATCAAAAATCGCTGGCAAGGATAGATACTGTGTTGTAAAGTACAGAATAAAGACGTGTGCTTTTAAGTTACAGAGAATGTTAAACGTAGCATTTTCTCTTCCTTGTCATAGTAGATTTGTTCACTATGAAGAGCAGAATTACCAATATGTCGCACCATCGCAGAATCAACCAGCTCCAACGACAGAAAACGAAACAGTCTGTAGACCGTGTCCCGCATCCTTGAAGTCGGAAAAAACAGAAGTTTTTTACCCAGATGATTACTATCCAGGTATGTTGACTTTTCTTTTGTGGAAATGAAAAGGAGTTTTATAGCACTGAGTCACGATAACAAGTGAAATACATATAAATACTACGTGTTTCTTCAGTCATAGGAGTTAGCAATATCTTTCAATATAAACCTTGCCTTTTTAAAGGGGACATAATCACCCGGCTGGTTGTGTTGCTCTAAGAATCAAGAGGTCACGGTTTGATTCCTGGTGAGGGCACATGCCCGAGGTTGCAGGCTCAATCCCCAGTAGGGGGCGTGCAAGAGGCAGCAGATCAATGATTCTCATTGATATTTCTCTCTCTGTCCCTCTCACTTTATCTCTGAAACAAACAAACAAAAATCCAGAAAAACATGTTTCTTTAAAAAATATAAAGGGAACATAATCTAAATACTGATCACAATATTAAAAATAACAGCGATACCACTGCCACCACCAAGAACATGTGACATCCCTGTAGCAATTTACAGTTCACATCACTCTTTCACGAGTATCATCTTTTTTCCTTAGGACAACATTCTCCTAAATCCCTGTGCCTTCTGGCTGTTGCCACCTTTCTCCCTCCCCTCACCCCTTCACAACCCCCTCCCCCTCAAATTGGGAATATTGGCTGAAATAGAACTTACTGTTTCCTTTGTACTCATTTTGTTTTGCTTGTCATTTCTGTGTCTTATCACCTACTTGATTGTTGCTCAGTGCCTTGCACTACATAAATACTTGTTAAATCAATGAGGAGGAAAATGTATTTGCTTTTTAGAAACACTGTTGTCAATAACTCCTCCATTCTTCTTCATGTTAAAAATCCACCAATCAGGTAAGTCATAGGAGGAATGAGAAAAAGGCCCGCTGTAACTTTTCTGAACTTGTATCTAAACCTTTTTTCTGGGCTCAGTTACCAAATTACAGTTAATAAAAAGGGGTTTGGTATGTGTTCTGTAATGAGGATTCACATTTTTTGTAATAATAAAATCAAATGCTAACATTTACCTTCGAAAGCCCTTGCGGTGTGCTTTAGATATATTTACCAATTTAGTCTTTACATCACCCTACAATCCTGATTTCAAAGGCGGGTATAGTAAAACAGACTGGTAACTTGCAGAGTAAACTGCTCATGATTGCGCTGGGAACCACGGTGTCTGACTCAGAGCCTGTGTAAATCCGTTAACGATATAATGATCAACTGTATGGCTTGGTGTGCGGAGTTACTCTGTGGTTATTCAGTTAATAATGGTTTGATTCTCAGATTATCTTCCAGAAAGTAGAACTCAACAGGTTGTTGCTCCAAAGCCAGTTCCCCAGAAGAAGAAAGAGAAATCAAAGGAAAAAAAGGATCAAACCTGTCCTTCTCCGAAAGCCAAGGAGAAAAGGCTCGTGTCCTATGATAGGACAGGTACGTGGTATTCCTTGTTTAGAAGACTCGATGCTTTTCAAGTTACGCTGAGGTTTTGTGTGCTTACATATACTGCACAATGATTTTAGACCAGCGGTTCTCAACTGGTGGGT